CGCGGCGGGGCGCAGGTGTAGAGTAGAGTAGAGTGTAGAGTGTAGAGTGTAATGTAGAGCGCAGAGTGAAGAGTGAAGGGGCGTGCCTCGAGCTGGTCGGGCTGCGTGAGGCGGCGCGGCGCCAGGTCGGCGGCGAGGCGCGCCAGCACGACGTCGAGCAGCGCGGCGGGGCGCAGGTGTAGAGTAGAGTAGAGTGTAGAGTGTAATGTAGAGTGCAGAGTGAAGAGTGAAGGGGCGTGCCTCGAGCTGGTCGGGCTGCGTGAGGCGGCGCGGCGCCAGGTCGGCGGCGAGGCGCGCCAGCACGACGTCGAGCAGCGCGGCGGGGCGCAGGTGTAGAGTAGAGTAGAGTGTAGAGTGTAGAGTGTAATGTAGAGTGCAGAGTGAAGAGTGAAGGGGCGTGCCTCGAGCTGGTCGGGCTGCGTGAGGCGGCGCGGCGCCAGGTCGGCGGCGAGGCGCGCCAGCACGACGTCGAGCAGCGCGGCGGGGCGCAGGTGTAGAGTAGAGTAGAGTGTAATGTAGAGTGCAGAGTGAAGAGTGAAGGGGCGTGCCTCGAGCTGGTCGGGCTGCGTGAGGCGGCGCGGCGCCAGGTCGGCGGCGAGGCGCGCCAGCACGACGTCGAGCAGCGCGGCGGGGCGCAGGTGTAGAGTAGAGTAGAGTGTAGAGTGTAATGTAGAGTGCAGAGTGAAGAGTGAAGGGGCGTGCCTCGAGCTGGTCGGGCTGCGTGAGGCGGCGCGGCGCCAGGTCGGCGGCGAGGCGCGCCAGCACGACGTCGAGCAGCGCGGCGGGGCGCAGGTGTAGAGTAGAGTAGAGTGTAGAGTGTAATGTAGAGTGCAGAGTGAAGAGTGAAGGGGCGTGCCTCGAGCTGGTCGGGCTGCGTGAGGCGGCGCGGCGCCAGGTCGGCGGCGAGGCGCGCCAGCACGACGTCGAGCAGCGCGGCGGGGCGCAGGTGTAGAGTAGAGTAGAGTGTAGAGTGTAATGTAGAGTGCAGAGTGAAGAGTGAAGGGGCGTGCCTCGAGCTGGTCGGGCTGCGTGAGGCGGCGCGGCGCCAGGTCGGCGGCGAGGCGCGCCAGCACGACGTCGAGCAGCGCGGCGGGGCGCAGGTGTAGAGTAGAGTAGAGTGTAGAGTGTAATGTAGAGTGCAGAGTGAAGAGTGAAGGGGCGTGCCTCGAGCTGGTCGGGCTGCGTGAGGCGGCGCGGCGCCAGGTCGGCGGCGAGGCGCGCCAGCACGACGTCGAGCAGCGCGGCGGGGCGCAGGTGTAGAGTAGAGTAGAGTGTAGAGTGTAATGTAGAGTGCAGAGTGAAGAGTGAAGGGGTGTGCCTCGAGCTGGTCGGGCTGCGTGAGGCGGCGCGGCGCCAGGTCGGCGGCGAGGCGCGCCAGCACGACGTCGAGCAGCGCGGCGGGGCGCAGGTGTAGAGTAGAGTAGAGTGTAGAGTGTAATGTAGAGTGCAGAGTGAAGAGTGAAGGGGCGTGCCTCGAGCTGGTCGGGCTGCGTGAGGCGGCGCGGCGCCAGGTCGGCGGCGAGGCGCGCCAGCACGACGTCGAGCAGCGCGGCGGGGCGCAGGTGTAGAGTAGAGTAGAGTGTAGAGTGTAGAGTGTAATGTAGAGCGCAGAGTGAAGAGTGAAGGGGCGTGCCTCGAGCTGGTCGGGCTGCGTGAGGCGGCGCGGCGCCAGGTCGGCGGCGAGGCGCGCCAGCACGACGTCGAGCAGCGCGGCGGGGCGCAGGTGTAGAGTAGAGTAGAGTGTAGAGTGTAGAGTGTAATGTAGAGTGCAGAGTGAAGAGTGAAGGGGCGTGCCTCGAGCTGGTCGGGCTGCGTGAGGCGGCGCGGCGCCAGGTCGGCGGCGAGGCGCGCCAGCACGACGTCGAGCAGCGCGGCGGGGCGCAGGTGTAGAGTAGAGTAGAGTGTAGAGTGTAGAGTGTAATGTAGAGCGCAGAGTGAAGAGTGAAGGGGCGTGCCTCGAGCTGGTCGGGCTGCGTGAGGCGGCGCGGCGCCAGGTCGGCGGCGAGGCGCGCCAGCACGACGTCGAGCAGCGCGGCGGGGCGCAGGTGTAGAGTAGAGTAGAGTGTAGAGTGTAGAGTGTAATGTAGAGCGCAGAGTGAAGAGTGAAGGGGCGTGCCTCGAGCTGGTCGGGCTGCGTGAGGCGGCGCGGCGCCAGGTCGGCGGCGAGGCGCGCCAGCACGACGTCGAGCAGCGCGGCGGGGCGCAGGTGTAGAGTAGAGTAGAGTGTAGAGTGTAGAGTGTAATGTAGAGCGCAGAGTGAAGAGTGAAGGGGCGTGCCTCGAGCTGGTCGGGCTGCGTGAGGCGGCGCGGCGCCAGGTCGGCGGCGAGGCGCGCCAGCACGACGTCGAGCAGCGCGGCGGGGCGCAGGTGTAGAGTAGAGTAGAGTGTAGAGTGTAGAGTGTAATGTAGAGCGCAGAGTGAAGAGTGAAGGGGCGTGCCTCGAGCTGGTCGGGCTGCGTGAGGCGGCGCGGCGCCAGGTCGGCGGCGAGGCGCGCCAGCACGACGTCGAGCAGCGCGGCGGGGCGCAGGTGTAGAGTAGAGTAGAGTGTAGAGTGTAGAGTGTAATGTAGAGCGCAGAGTGAAGAGTGAAGGGGCGTGCCTCGAGCTGGTCGGGCTGCGTGAGGCGGCGCGGCGCCAGGTCGGCGGCGAGGCGCGCCAGCACGACGTCGAGCAGCGCGGCGGGGCGCAGGTGTAGAGTAGAGTAGAGTATAGAGTGTAGAGTGTAATGTAGAGCGCAGAGTGAAGAGTGAAGGGGCGTGCCTCGAGCTGGTCGGGCTGCGTGAGGCGGCGCGGCGCCAGGTCGGCGGCGAGGCGCGCCAGCACGACGTCGAGCAGCGCGGCGGGGCGCAGGTGTAGAGTAGAGTAGAGTGTAGAGTGTAGAGTGTAATGTAGAGCGCAGAGTGAAGAGTGAAGGGGCGTGCCTCGAGCTGGTCGGGCTGCGTGAGGCGGCGCGGCGCCAGGTCGGCGGCGAGGCGCGCCAGCACGACGTCGAGCAGCGCGGCGGGGCGCAGGTGTAGAGTAGAGTAGAGTGTAGAGTGTAGAGTGTAATGTAGAGCGCAGAGTGAAGAGTGAAGGGGCGTGCCTCGAGCTGGTCGGGCTGCGTGAGGCGGCGCGGCGCCAGGTCGGCGGCGAGGCGCGCCAGCACGACGTCGAGCAGCGCGGCGGGGCGCAGGTGTAGAGTAGAGTAGAGTGTAGAGTGTAGAGTGTAATGTAGAGCGCAGAGTGAAGAGTGAAGGGGCGTGCCTCGAGCTGGTCGGGCTGCGTGAGGCGGCGCGGCGCCAGGTCGGCGGCGAGGCGCGCCAGCACGACGTCGAGCAGCGCGGCGGGGCGCAGGTGTAGAGTAGAGTAGAGTGTAGAGTGTAGAGTGTAATGTAGAGTGCAGAGTGAAGAGTGAAGGGGCGTGCCTCGAGCTGGTCGGGCTGCGTGAGGCGGCGCGGCGCCAGGTCGGCGGCGAGGCGCGCCAGCACGACGTCGAGCAGCGCGGCGGGGCGCAGGTGTAGAGTAGAGTAGAGTGTAGAGTGTAGAGTGTAATGTAGAGCGCAGAGTGAAGAGTGAAGGGGCGTGCCTCGAGCTGGTCGGGCTGCGTGAGGCGGCGCGGCGCCAGGTCGGCGGCGAGGCGCGCCAGCACGACGTCGAGCAGCGCGGCGGGGCGCAGGTGTAGAGTAGAGTAGAGTGTAGAGTGTAATGTAGAGCGCAGAGTGAAGAGTGAAGGGGCGTGCCTCGAGCTGGTCGGGCTGCGTGAGGCGGCGCGGCGCCAGGTCGGCGGCGAGGCGCGCCAGCACGACGTCGAGCAGCGCGGCGGGGCGCAGGTGTAGAGTAGAGTAGAGTGTAGAGTGTAGAGTGTAATGTAGAGCGCAGAGTGAAGAGTGAAGGGGCGTGCCTCGAGCTGGTCGGGCTGCGTGAGGCGGCGCGGCGCCAGGTCGGCGGCGAGGCGCGCCAGCACGACGTCGAGCAGCGCGGCGGGGCGCAGGTGTAGAGTAGAGTAGAGTGTAGAGTGTAGAGTGTAATGTAGAGCGCAGAGTGAAGAGTGAAGGGGCGTGCCTCGAGCTGGTCGGGCTGCGTGAGGCGGCGCGGCGCCAGGTCGGCGGCGAGGCGCGCCAGCACGACGTCGAGCAGCGCGGCGGGGCGCAGGTGTAGAGTAGAGTAGAGTGTAGAGTGTAGAGTGTAATGTAGAGCGCAGAGTGAAGAGTGAAGGGGCGTGCCTCGAGCTGGTCGGGCTGCGTGAGGCGGCGCGGCGCCAGGTCGGCGGCGAGGCGCGCCAGCACGACGTCGAGCAGCGCGGCGGGGCGCAGGTGTAGAGTAGAGTAGAGTGTAGAGTGTAATGTAGAGCGCAGAGTGAAGAGTGAAGGGGCGTGCCTCGAGCTGGTCGGGCTGCGTGAGGCGGCGCGGCGCCAGGTCGGCGGCGAGGCGCGCCAGCACGACGTCGAGCAGCGCGGCGGGGCGCAGGTGTAGAGTAGAGTAGAGTGTAGAGTGTAGAGTGTAATGTAGAGCGCAGAGTGAAGAGTGAAGGGGCGTGCCTCGAGCTGGTCGGGCTGCGTGAGGCGGCGCGGCGCCAGGTCGGCGGCGAGGCGCGCCAGCACGACGTCGAGCAGCGCGGCGGGGCGCAGGTGTAGAGTAGAGTAGAGTGTAGAGTGTAGAGTGTAATGTAGAGCGCAGAGTGAAGAGTGAAGGGGCGTGCCTCGAGCTGGTCGGGCTGCGTGAGGCGGCGCGGCGCCAGGTCGGCGGCGAGGCGCGCCAGCACGACGTCGAGCAGCGCGGCGGGGCGCAGGTGTAGAGTAGAGTAGAGTGTAGAGTGTAGAGTGTAATGTAGAGCGCAGAGTGAAGAGTGAAGGGGCGTGCCTCGAGCTGGTCGGGCTGCGTGAGGCGGCGCGGCGCCAGGTCGGCGGCGAGGCGCGCCAGCACGACGTCGAGCAGCGCGGCGGGGCGCAGGTGTAGAGTAGAGTAGAGTGTAGAGTGTAGAGTGTAATGTAGAGCGCAGAGTGAAGAGTGAAGGGGCGTGCCTCGAGCTGGTCGGGCTGCGTGAGGCGGCGCGGCGCCAGGTCGGCGGCGAGGCGCGCCAGCACGACGTCGAGCAGCGCGGCGGGGCGCAGGTGCGGGCAGTTGAGGCAGTTGTACGTCGCCTCGGGCGCCGTCGCCAGCCACGCCGTCTCGTTGGCCGTGTGGTTCAGCACCACGTCGCAGATAGACACCATCTAAATCATTTATCTATGTCATAACTTCTATGTATACTACTAAGCGGGCTCTGCGGTCGCAGAGCTTAACTTTAATTTTAAAGTTATAGTTAAAATTACAGTCTATATGGCTGGGCACAGACCTCCTCTCATTAGAGATAGGGTTTTAGGGCAAGGAAATTTCCGCCGAGCTGCCCCGATGCGTGTTGGCGAACTTCACATGTTTTCGAAATATTTGTTTTTCTTTTTATTTCTCAGATATGCAGGTTTCCGCAGAATGGTTTCCTTCACCGCCGAGCACGTGTTAAATCAGCACTTAAAATTGCAATTAACAATTTCACTTGTGCCGGCGGGGATTGAACCCGGGTTACTACTTACCAGTAGGTTACTGTGAAATTTACAAGCACTTAGCCCATAAGCTACTACGGCATTGCGCTTTGTTACGGTCAATACTCCGTTATCCCTTTAGCCGACTGCGAGCGGGCGTTAAGACCAGTTCTTTCTTTTGACGTTGCTTTCGACAATCTAACATCGATTTTGTTTAATGTGAGTAAGAAAACGCTGTCATTGTTTATAAGTGCACTTGGTCAACGTGATTTAAAGTTTATCTCAGATAAGTACCTATGTTACTTTATTTGGTATTTGTTTAAAAACACGACTGTTTTCTAGATCTCGACAACAGCGCTACTTACAGCGGTCCAATTGTGAATGTGCGTGTTTATCAAAATCGGTCCACCCGGTCTCAAGTGATGATCTTTCATACATGCGGCAATTGATTTTAATTTATATAGATTTGCCATTTGCTAAGCTGAAAACCTGTTTGGAAAGTATTTCGAAATCATGCTGTTAAGGCAGGATCTTGATAATGCCGTGCATCGGCGGCATAAAATAAACTACTACCTCCAACCAAATAATATATATTATTACTTAGACGCTCTAAGACCCCACACCTTCCCATAAAATATCGTAAAAGACGACATTGGGAAATGAAACAGGAGACATAAAGTAGCTTCCCGATAACATCTCGAAATAATAAAAAAATGCTGTTGCCAAAATACTTGCTATGAGACTATGGCAAATATTCCCCCTAAATTCAGCAGTTGACTTTTGATAAACTGGAATTAATGAATTAATGATGGATAATATCTTGAGGGGGCAGGGAGGAAAACGGGTAATACGTTCGTAATCAATTTATTGGTAGTGATCTAGCTACAAATGAGAACGCAGACCGCGGTCGTGCTGTTGTTATTGTTCTCAAATTGTTTTATCCTAGCAGTGCCCTCTGTGTACGTCCCGTGAAGCATAACGAGTATGGATTAAACAAAAACAGTTATTATTCCCTGTGAAACGCATAATAAGTCTAAGTATAATTTGGCGGAAATTTACAGGCTGAATTTAAGTAGATTTCACAGTGACCTTTTCACGATATACATATTTTAAATTATACAACGATAGTATGAAATTCCACATTATTTGACTACGTTTTTGTTGTAAGATGTCAGATGAAGCTTCCATAAACTTTCATTGATTTAAATAAGTATTTCGAACCGGACTAATAAAACTATTTTACTACGTCATAGAGCAAATTAATTTATCGACAACGTTTTTTGTTTCGCTAATGGCACATCGACAGAGGCGTCTATGGAATGTAAAAACGGCAAAAACCTTGTAAAAGCAAGAAAGTCAGAATAATATAGCTATCTTATTTTGTACCACGTTAAACGTCATATGTACAAAGTGTTCACCTATAAGAATTTGTTCTTATTTTAGGACTCTATGCTAGTAATTACTCTGAGCATAAAATATAGAGTAAGTTACGTACGTTCCACTCGTTCCGTATTTTGGCCACAAAATTTTCAACGTCTGCGAATGTGGCTTCGCGCGAACCGTCATCGCTGAAGCGCGGGTTCAGGCGGAGTTGGTTCGCGATGCTGTAGCTTGAATTGGACGCGCCCAGCTCCTGTGTATACCAATTAACTTATTAACATCTTCGGCTGGATCAGCACTTACCATCTGGTGTGATAGTAGTCAAGCACTAGCCTATAATATTAAAAATTTCTTAAGTCTAGATTATAAATAAAACGTATTGAAATTAATATTTAGATCAATATACCATACCTTGGAAAATAGCTCTGTCATGAGAAGAACGAGCAAGACATCCATTTTCGGTGACGATGACATGTTCGGGTATGTTACATAATGAGTTCGCGTCCGTCGCGGTTAAGGTGAATCATTATCTTATATTTATTTATTTATTTACTCTTTATTGTACACCAAAAAACAAAACAAAACGAATACAGTTAAATCTAAATTAGAAAATGTACAACAGGCGGTCTTATCACTCTGAAAGTGATTTCTTCCAGAGAACCTTAGTGTAGAGAACTGATTATAATAGTCAAACTATACTGATTGCTTTGCTTAAATGTTAACTCCAGCAGTAATGTATTCCTTAGAGTATACATAAGCGTATATTGCTTATATATATATATATATATTGGTCTGGCACAGAGTGTACCAGGTGAGTGCATGCGTACCTGCACGGGCGTGAAGTGCAGCATGTTGTAGCGCGCCTCGCGGGCGGGACGCAGCGCACGCTCCCAGCGCGACAGCGGCCCCAGGCACTTGGCCAGCACGGTCTGGCACATGATCGCGTCCGGAGTCAGCACGCGCTCGCCCGCTCGTAGTGTGGGGCTCACGTGGAACCAGCCAGAGCCCTGCCAATTAGTTTTTTTACTATTGAAAAGTCGTAAGTGGACGCTTGGGCCCATAAACATGAAGAATCCAATCAATATTCCCCTAATATTGCAGTTGTTCATGGGCGGCGCAGCGGTATGCATCAGGTGAGCTGCATGCCTGCTTGCCCTCTCTCCTATAAAAAAAAATTCAAAACGCATGTGTATTATTGTATTATCTATTACATTCTACATTTTTCTTCAATTTAGATTATTAAATAATACTTATTGAAAGTCACTCTTATGTTTATTTTACCACTGGTTCGAAAAATACCTCTGTCCTGGAAAGAACCAGCAAGAAATCCAGCGGGAAATGTTTTTTTTTAAAAGAAGAATCGTTTACAATCAGTGAGGTTACACAATAATTAACAACACGAAAAAAAAAACTAGAAATACCTCATTACCAGGAGTTATTATCATCCATATATTCCTTAATATTAGAGTGACCCTTTTTATACAATCTTTATTTAATAAAGTTTTCGAATTTGGTGGAAGTCAGATTTTGTATATTTTCTGAGATTTTGTTGTAAAAGCGCAAACAAGAATCGAAGACTCGTTGGAGTCGAATAACTGGTACTACTATACTCGTACTGCTGTACTAGTTTGTCTGTTCCTAGTATTTGCAATATGAATATCACTTATATTTTTAAAACTATATAATATGTTTGTGCATGTACCGTACATTTTTGTAAATGTATTGAGAGGTCAATGTTAAAATATTAATTTCCTTAAATTTTTGTCTTAAAGACTCTAGGTTTTAAATGATAGATTGAACTTATGGCTCTCTTCTGCAAAACAAATATAATTTCAGTGTCAGTCAAGAGTCTTTATAGCAAAATAACATGAAAATAGCTAAAATAAACCAGTTTAGTTGTTTTAACACTGGTAAGGTTTAAGATATGTAATATTTTACAGCATACGATGCAGAACTAACTCTGCATGCTAGTTTAAATATATGAGCACATTGAAACTTCACGTCTGATTAAGGTAATTTCAAAGAAAATGGTGGAATCGACAAGACTAAACTCCTCATTTAAAATTGCACTAGCTGTTTAGGCGAAAAAATTAACATTTCAAATTTGCATTCACACTCGTGTTCGCCCGCTTGGTTTGTAAGGGTCACAGACCTGAGACCTCATGGGCCCCGGGATATTGGAGCCTTGTAGGGGCAGCTGTGTGCCGTAACACTAGCATTTAGATGTTTGACATTTGGAGTTATGAATTTCACTGTCTAAATGGATTTTAAAATTTGTAGCTCCTAAGTAGTTCATCCTTTCTAATGGTGTCCAAACAAAAACACAATAAAAATCGGTCTAGTGCATGTTATGTCCAATTTGCCTTCAGTTTCACACTATGAAGCCAGGGCTGACTACTACTACACCATGGACGTATACATATGGCGGACAGAATTTTGTTAAGAAAGGACTGATGCACTGTAATGGCGGCGGTACAAGTATGATTGCGTGTTATATAGGGTTGTCATGTGAAACAAAATTTCCTCACATTTTTTTATAAAACAATCTGTCAAAATATAACATTTACTTTGACGAAATACTAATTTATTATAACAATTAATTAGTATTTTTATTACTCTATTATTATAAAAATTCTAATAATTTAAGATTTAGATTTTGATTGAAATCGAATTATTACGAATTACGAATTATTTTATTTCAATCATACATAAAACATACATACATAAACACTCACGCCTGTCACCCAGAGGGGTAGGCAGAGATTATGGACTTCCATTTGGCACGATCCTGACACACCTCTCTCGCGTCCTCCACATCCATATACCTACGCATAGACGCTCGTCGGTTAAAGGTACTCTTGATTTGGCCCATTTTTAATATATCGCCAATTTGATCGATAAACTTTCGCCTAGGGCAAACCTTCCCGACTATGCCGTTCACCTCTGCAAAATAAATTTGCTTTGTCACTCTTTCCTCATTCATTCTGTCTACATGGCTAAACCACCGAAGCATTCCTTAATTAATCCTGGTCACAACATCATCTTGCAAACCACACTCTTCTCTTATTAAACAATTTCTCACTCTGTCATTCAGATTCATCCCTAACATACTCCTTAATGACCGCATTTCTACAGCATTTATTCTACTCTCGTGCTTCTTCTGCCACACTCAACTTTCACTACCATACATTAAAGTAGGTACTAACACAGCATTGTGAATTGCCATACGTGCCTTTTTGGACACATTCTGACTTTTCACAATATAGTGTAGAGCCCCATTCACTCTATTTCCTGCATTCACTCGTCGTTCTATATCCTTATCATATCTACCATCCCTGCTAAACACACATCCAAAATATACAAACTCACCTACTTGCTCTACCAACTCCCCTTCTATTCTTATTTCACATATCGTTTTACTTTCTTCTCTTTGAAAAACCATAACTTTCGTCTTACTTGCGTTCACTTTCATTCCCTTTTCTTTTAATGTCCTGTTCATTAATGTAACCATCATTTGCAACTCGGCTGCCGACGACGCAAGTATGACTTGATCATCGGCGTACAAAAGGCATTTGACGGTTAACTCACCCATTCTTAACCCGCATTCTTCTACTTTCAAATTTTTAGAAAATTTGAAAATTTGAATTTATTTCAATCAATTTCGATTTAAGTTAATTTTATTACAAACATTATATTATACAAAATTTTTATTAAATTATTGGAACGAAATATATTATAAATATTTATTAACGAAATATATAACAAATAAACATGTTATAGGTAACAATAAAAATTAATATAAAATTAATTTACATTGTATCATTTTACAATAAGTATGAAAACGTTTAGAAACAGCATGTTAGGGATCACCTCATTCTCAGGGGTCATATACTTACATATAAAGAGTATATCAATCATATACTCTTTAGTAGTATACCCTAATAATCCTTAGTGAACAATTTTTGCTTGGTAAAAATTTTAAACTTTGATAGATAATGCCTGCGTATTTTCTGGGATTTGTTTTGAAAGCGTATACATGAAGGAATTACTGACTCTTTTGGGTCGATTAACTGGTATAACTAACTTACGCTTGCTCCTAGTATTTACAGAATGTACATCACTAAATATAAATACATACATTAGATTTTCGTAAATATACTGAGAGGCCAAAGTTAATAAGTCTTATAATTGACTCAAAGTTTAACTGGAGCTTCCACATTGAACATGTGTGTAATAAGTTGCGTCAGTTTCTAGCAAATATAAAAATCTTAAAAAATCGCATACCATTCAAAGTAAGACTGGCTACAACTCTCTGGCTGAATCCTATATTCAATATGGTTGGTCAAGTTATGGTCGGACGTACAAATCATATTTAAAACAGATCTATGATATTCAACTTAGAATTCTTAAAAATATTGTATCCCCAAATATGCGTGTCCTAATTGATGATGATGAAAATGAGATTTTTAAACATTGTAAAATCATACCAGTTTATGACCAAATTAAATTCATGTTATTAAAGCAATATTTCTTTTGCGATAACATAAAGTCATACATAGATCAACCTGTACGTACGCGCGCTATGACACAAAACCGGCTCCGGTACATCACTGCTAATAATGTCTACGGGCAGCGGACGGCCGCTTATCAGGTACCGCATTTAATAAATAATTTACCTTTCGATTTACGCGAAAAAATTCACAAAAAAAACATTAAAACTAAACTCAAAAGCTTTTTCATATCTAAATTATAATTGCCTACTATATCTACTTACTTAACAATAACATACCTACCTGCCTAGTTCTTACTTTTACCTTGCTACTATTTCAACCAAGTTGTTAACTTACCTTCTTAGTCTTTATATTCTTACTATACATACTAACTACTCACATACCTAACAACTTACTTAGACTGTGTCTTACACATAATATGCTGACTTAAACTAAATTATTTAGCATCAAGTCAAACCTCCTTGGTATTTAGATGTTAATTAGACCTATTCATGTATTCTCTTCTTTTGATCTGATAAATAAACTAAAAAAAAATATATTTATTTATTAAAATTTTCTGAAAGTGTAAATTATAGTTATTATTTATGACAATAAGTCATAAATAATTACCATAATTTACCCATTTTCATGACAAACAACAATGTTAAAAACCTTTTAGTTGAATAATGTTTAAAAAAAATAAAGTTAAAGACAGTTGTCTTTTACTTTCAAAGGTTCTTCAAATTCCCTCTAATTTTGAAATATGGTGAAATCGAATTGCCAAATATTTTTCTGCTATATATTTAATAAGACTTATCTTATGCTCTACCCCTGCAAATGTGTGCTCAAATTTCAAGCTTACAAAAACCTTTCTTTGGCAATAAACTTTTCTAATATTTTTGTAAGTATATACTTTTTTTTTGTTGCCTTCCATTGTACATTGTAATGTTTTCCTTAATAATATTTCGTCTAACTATTTCGCAAGTACAACAAATTAATATTAAATAAATCGTTAGACGGAAAACGTAAACCTCCCAAAAGTTTTCAAATTTATTAATTTATTAAAGAAATGCCTTTCTAAATATACAAACGCGCGGTACATTTTTGGCATTAAATTTTTTTGTTGCATAATTAGCAATGGTGGCACCTATTATTAACTTACTTAAAAAAAAGCATAAAACCGCATTATAATCGATCGGGTAATTTTTCAGGAAAATTGTAACAAAAAAGTGCACATATAACAACCTTTGGAGGTTGTTGGGCAAACATATATACCGTATCCGTGCCAACGTGGGTAAAACTAGCAAGTTCCCAAATTTCGGGTAATTTTCCCTATAAATAGTTAACAACACTGACCACGTGACTCATATTTTGTGTTCCAAAAATAGCATTTTAATTTAAGACATAAAATTCTCAAATAAGTCATTATAGGTAATTACTGAGTCACCTATGAAAGGTGTTGATTACCTTGATGTTTTTTGATAAAACCACTATGATTTTTACAAAATTTAACGACGCAAGAGGGCATATTGATTTTTGTTTTTAGTTACGCCAACTACTTCTCGCGGACGACGTTTGTTGCGTAATGGCGGGCGGTAGACTTATTATTAGTGTGAATGTGTGCGTGACCCCTTGTACGTACACGCGAGCTGACTTATTATGGGTACCTCGCTGAGTTGTATAGCGAGATTGAGTCCGCCTTTTTTTATACGTCCATGTACTACACACACTCTACATTGCTTCTTTGCACTGTAGTTTGTGTGTTTTTACTTTGATGATGATGATTTTATAAGTTTTTGAAAGATATATCGAAGGTATTAGGTCAGACTTTCGCACCTGGGGACCGAGATGTGACTCCGCGCTGTCGTACACGAAGTAGTAGTGGAAGCTGCCGGCGCGCGCCAGCCGCAACGCACAGTACACGTCGGTGTCCGTGATCAACAGGCCGCTGCCCAGCGGCTCGCCGCCCGCCCCCTCCCCCGCCTCACCCTCGTCGTCCGAGCCGCGCCTCCACTCCAGCCCGTAGTACTGGTTACGCACGAACTCTGTTTCTTCGCACTTCTCATTTTCTACACACAATAGGGAAAAAGAATGTAACCAATTTAACTTGTTTTATAACACGAAAATAATATTGTAATTACTACTTTTTTGTTTTGTACAACTCATGTTCGAAGACGCTGACGGCTGTAACACAGTTTATACTAGTATGACCGTTAACGCTAACTTCTTTTAAATGTAGTTTTGTAATTAAATATATACAACACAAAAATAAATGATTATTCTTATTATTAATAAAACTTATTAGACACTTAGAATACATAAAAATCCGGTACTCACGGGTGTCGGTCGCGACATAATTGGTATACAAGAAGACTTTCCGCCCGAGTAGACTTGGACCTGGAGAAAAATGTATGTAGCAACCTTTCTCGAATCTGGAAGTTAGAAAATAATCATGAAAACCATCAATAAGAATCTAGGGCTAGACGAGAGCTTCTTCCACAGAAAGTTATTGTCGTAGTCACTACGTTATCAAACCTTGGTGATTGCAGCACCAGAGTTCTGTCTAGATAAGTATAATTTGTTTAGTCACATCTAGATTGGTAAACACATCTGGTAATTCCGCCATATTTCAAAGACCTTGAGATATTTGTCGTCTCCACAGGACGAAGTAGAGTGATGGATTCTCATAGTATGTTACTAACGTCTAAGAAATTAAATATGCTTATATGCTAACTATATTATACTTTCGGGCTTGGACTGCCTCCTTGGTGTAGTAGTCATTAATGCGGTTATTGATCATGAAGTCCCGGTTCAGCTACCGGGTCTGGTCAAAATCAGTTTGTCTGTCAATAAATTCTCAGCAGCAGCCAGGAGTAACGAAGTTAGCGGTGTTTCACCCCCGAGGTCCTGCGCCTGATCTCTCTCCAGTCGTGTCGGTTACCATACCATCGGACTATGAAGGTGAGGGAATAGAGAATGCACTTTTGCTTGAGCATACACTTGGGCACTAATCCTGTTCTGCACAGATACCTAGTCTTCGTTAAGACGGTTATCGAAGTTCGTTCTGGAGTACAATATATAAAGGTTATTTCAACAAGAACTTTGTTTTTCAATTGGGGCAACATCAAAAACATTACAGTTTTGACATTTAGTTTTTTGACCTATTCGTAGTAGATGCTTTGGCAATTGCTACAATGAATTCAATTCCGCTCGAAAATCGCATTAAAATAACTAAAATCCACTATGAAAATGGTGGTTCTGTTAAAGTTACGTTTCGTAAAATTCGTGATATTTTCGGACAACAGAATCGTCCTTCTGAGACTGCTGTTAAGAATTTGGTCGTTAAATTTGAATCGACAGGCTCGGTACAAAATGCGCCAACACCAACGCGTGTTCGACCGGGTCGTTCAACCGAAAACATCGCAGCCGTGAGCCACAGTGTTGAAGAAGATCCAAATTTGTCAATTCCTCGACGTTCTCAACAATTGGGGTTATCCAAAACCACCACATGGCGAATTTTGCGTAAGGATTTGGCTTTGAAGCCTTACAAGGTTCAACTGGTGCAGGAATTGAAGCTGACCGACCATTCACATCGCCGTAGATTCGCTCAATTCATTCAGGAACAGCCCGCTGGTTTTTCTGAAAAAATATTTTTTTCAGACTAAGCCCATTTTCACTTGTCAGGGTACGTCAACAAGCAAAATTGCCGCATTTTGGCTTCTGAAAATCCTAAAGCGATTATTGAGAAGCCTTTGCATGCTCAACGTGTCACTGTATGGTGCGCTATGTGGTCTGGAGGCGTGATTGGGCCGTTTTTTTTCGAAGATGAGGCTGGAAATGCGGTAACGGTCAATGGATCACGCTATCGCGAGATGTTAACATCTCCATTTTGGCATATTATTGATGACATCGATATCACAAACATGTTCAACAGGACGGTGCCACATGTCACACAGCCAACGAAACGATCAATTTATTGCAAACCAAATTTCCCGATCGCATAATTTCACGAAATTCAGCTGTTAAATGGGCAGCCAGATCGTGTGATTTAACACCACTGGATTATTTTTTGTGGGGCTATGTTAAGGACAGAGTCTATACGGAGCCAATCGAATCGATCGCGGCCTTAAAACTCAAAATCCGTGACGTGATTAACGAAATAGACCCGCCATTTTGCCAAAAAGTGATTAAAAACTTTGATGAAAGAATCGACATCTGTCAGCGTGGTCGTGATGGACATTTGCCAGATATCATTTTTCATTCATAGTTGCCAAACTGTTCTCTTCGTAATACAATAAAAATTTGAATCATCTTCATCTAAACTCTTTGTTTTATTTTGTTTTAGAAAACAAAGTTCTTGTTGAAAAACCCATTATTTTTGCGAGTTCAAAGTTTACCGTGTAGTGCCGGTGTAAGAATATCCATGACAGTTACACCATATCGTCCCGTGGGTGTTGTTAAAGGCGACAGGAGGGAACTGAAACAGGAGATGAACGCAGCATCTTCCTGACAACAACTCAAAATTAAACAAAAAAAAACCGCGGTTGCCAACTCTCTTGCCAAGCGTCTCTCTTCCTTATTAAAAACTACGTTTATATTAACGAAGGTTGGATAAACAGGGTGGTGGGGGCACGAGGCTGACTATGCCACCCTTAGAAGTTGTTCTTAGATCTGGTAGCATAGTTGTATGATACGAGCTCGCGTTATCCTGCTGACCGTTGCATGATTCCGGAACAGTCTTATAACGTCATTATAATATTAAGCAGTAATGTTAATAGCATTACAACATAGTGTTTAAAAAAAGTGAGTGTAGCATCTGTCAAAAGACAAACTTCTTCCAATGCACCGTTGAACAGTTTCGGGAATCTAATAACGTCACCCTCTCTGCAATTGGATAAGTGTCGACCTCTTATCGCATTCTCGAATAGCCATCGTAGATTTACTGTGCAAACACTTCAGCACCTCATACAAGTCAGTCAACATAGCGCCACCGAAGAGTTTGTAACACCGCCCAAATTTCATCGGAATCAAAGAGTTTCTTAAAGTCGTATATGCAAGACAAGATGTGGCAGAATGTTAATCTTCAGTGATCTTGTGTACAATTCAACGAAGAGTATGTAAAAAATGTACATGTAAATATTTCGCTATTCTAACTCTGCCATCTTGCCAATATTATGTTACCGTGTAGCGGCGGTGTAAGAATATTCACTGACCCATATCATCCAGTGGGTTAAGAGGCGACAGAGTGAAACAAATCGGGAGATGAGCAACAGCGTCTTTTTAATAACGACTAAAAATAAAAAACCCGTTTGCCAAGCGTGGCAACAATGGCAAATATCCCCCCCTATAAGGCAATCTATGGGGGAGGCCTATATTCAGCAGTGGGCTATAAAGGTCTGTAATGGTTGCCAATAGAATGTAGGTATCTAACAATTTATTAAAATTTCCAATACCTAACAGAACACCAACAACGCAAGACAAAACCATTAGTCAATGGACTATCTGACGAATAGATAAAAGTACACATAAGGTTGTCTTATATTTTAAATTCAAAATGCGTGGTAATTCATTATTTTACCTCATTGTCATTCATAAATATTTAACGCCTACAGCACACAGTCCACCTTATAGTAGGTGGATGCTGTGGCCCATAGCCTCATACATCTATCCTCGATTAAGAATCAAATGAAGATGCGTTGTCACCCCTGAGGACTAAGATGCAATGCCTCGTATCCAGTAAAAAGGGACTCCGGTTCCCTACACTCACCCACCCTACAAAACACAGCAGCATTAAGCAGCTAGCTGGACAGCCAGTAGTAAAGTATGACACAACTAAGGAGTTACATCGATGTACGAGTACCTGATCATTTAGTTATATATTAAAATTAGTTATTTGTACAACTTCTTGCATCAATGTAAAGATCAATTTTACTGTAGTAAAATGTGTAGTAGTAAAGTGCCCTATATAGTATAATATTATCATTATGGTAGTAACAAATCAATATTCGTGGTCTTGAAGTCGTACTCAGTGATTGGTTTTACAAAGTTTGCCGATGCGATTTCTTAGTTGTGCCATACTTATTAACGCGGCGCGTATTGTAAGGAGTTTCCTCTCTATCGAGCCTTGACCGCCGCCAGTAGCTGGGACCCTGTCCCCAATGCTTTTCATGTTTTGATGATTTTAATGAAAATAAAAAAAAATATTTTCTTTTCCTAAAAATATTTAAAAATATAATTTGTAAGTTTTTGAAAATGAATAAAGGATTTTAATCAGTGTTTTTCTTAGAAACTGTCGAGCAACAAAAAAATAGAAATAAATAGTTCTTAGGTATTTCTTACTTTGAATAAAGGTAATTTTGTAAAATCACAGATTTAAAAAAAAATATTTCCCACCTACCGTGGTAGCTCAGATGGTTAGCGCTCGCTGTAAGCTTCACAGTACTCGAGCAACCCGGGTACGATCCCCGCCGTCACCAATGAAAATGTTAATTGCAATTTTAAGTGCTGATTTACCACATGCTCGGCGGTGAAGGAAAACATCGTGAGGAAACCTGCATGTCTGAGAAATAAGAAAAAAAATATTTCGAAGACATGTGAAGTTCGCCAACACGCATTGGGGCAGCGTGGTGGACATTTCCTTTCCCTAAAACCCTCCCAGAAATGAGAGGAGGCCTGTGCTCAGCAGTGGGACGTAAATAGGCTGCAACTTTACTATAACTTTACTATTTCCAACCTTGGTAACAGGTCAGCGCGGTAACAAAATAATTCCAACATTGTTCAATTAAAATAAACCACATGGAAATTGTTATTCCATCCATTATGACATTCCATCTTCGTCCTTAAAAGTGATCACGCATCTGTAGCCTTTTGATGAGTTGGTTGCAGTCATCAATGGTCTGCAGTAAACTTTAACCATCGGATGGATATTTAGCTCGTTTACCAATCTAATGTTAAAACACAACCATCTCATACCGGTAGATGGTGGCGTCCTGATGCTCGCCGTGGTTGAGCGTGAGCACGCGCACTTCTGTCGGCGCAGGCTCTACGCTCTCCTGCGACTCCCGGCTCTCCCTGCCGTCCTTCCCCACCTGCGCCTCGCTCGCGCGGCTTTCCACCGCCATTTGTCTCTAGAGTATAAAACAAATGTCACTTATACTTAACCTTATGAAATAAAGTTATTTATTTTTATCGTCGAAACCGTATCTTAAAAGTGAACTATGCCGTCTAAACAATGGTCGTTAACCTTTTCGATAACGGCCTTTTCCTGCACTTTGCGAACGTAGTCGCTCTTCTCGCGAGATATCATGCTTTGCGAGATGAGTGCGTGCGTGTCGCGGCGCGGTGTGACGTCACAGGGTGCGTGCAGGTGCAGGAGCCGCGCGTGTGCTGCGGCGCGGCGCTGACGACACAGTGGCCGCGCCGCCGACACGCACACCTATATACATATACACAGTACGACCACTGGGCACTGTCGGACCGTGACCACCGTGTGACCCGACACCACGCGACCAGGATCGCTTTCATACCATTGTGCGCCCGCCGCCCACCGCCTGTACGTTACATGCGACTTGCTCTATACGCATCTCTGAGGTACTTTCTAGCACCTTTGAAACTTAACAATAAATAAAAATTAAATGCAACAAAGCACAGACTATATACGTGGTAGAGCCATGCTGCAGCTATATTAGTAGTATAGTTGTAGCACGAATGGATCGGCTCGACCGAAGAAGGACCACGCTCTCACAAAATACCAGCGTAAAATAGCAGCTTAACACTGCTGTGTTTTTTACTGGAAAAGAGGCATTCCATCTTAGTCCTCACGGGTGACAACGCATCTGCATTTTGAGTCTTTATGGAGGATAGATGTAGATGTCTATGGATCACAGTAACCACTTACCATCAAGTGGACTGTGTGCTCGTTTGTCACCCTATCCTATAAAAAAAATAGACTACACAGTCAAGTGAACGACATGCGGATATATTCTACATACATCTTTTTCATTTTAAAGCACTTTTATACGGCTTCGTGGCGCAGTAGCTTAGCAATGAGTTGAGTTGAGAAAATTGTCAAATCGTGTAACCCTATGCATTTGGTTTTTGCTTTCATCATATCATACTGTTTGGGAATGGTTCCTCTTGACATCTTTTTTTACAATTTGTCTTTTTTAACCGACTGCCAAGGAAGGGTTATGTTTATCGCGCATATCTTGTATGTATGTATCTTTGTAAATTTCTTTATTACCTCGTATATTCTAAACGGCTGGATGGTTTTCTACAGTTAAGGTACCTATCGTTATATTCGTCTTAAAAACTCAAGTGTTTTTAAATAGCTGCTTGAAAAAAATGGCGGATTTTTGGCGCGAAAAGTTATACGTTAATAAATTAACCGAACCTGTCAAGTATGGTATCAAAATAAAGAAAATTAAAAACGGATTACAAAAATATATATAAATTATATGTATAAATTTAATTAAGAATAAAAAATTGATTTAAAAAGTTTTTGATAGCGTAAAAATAGGCCATGTTTGTGTCGGACCTTGTGCTAACATATGAAATTTAGTTCATAAGAGTGAGGCGGCACCATAGGGTAATCTGTGATGTAGAGATGATAAAAATTGCGTCCGTTCGTTCAATTTCGGCGCTTTCTGTAAATCTTCGGCTTCAGCTGAAACTTCGGCCCATTTTGGCTGTAGGCCAATGTGGTATTTTAGGCCGAAGCCGAAGTAAAGGCTTCGGTCGAACACTACGTTAGAGCCAAAATTCCCGCTCCTCACATCCTCCCTTGTTTTCGAAAATATATGTACCTCATATAGTGCGCTTCAAAGAGTCTTCGATCTATACAAGGTTCAGTGTGATATCCTTAAACACTGTTTGAGCCAATGAAAGAAGATACGATCTGGTTCATCGTCTAAAACTCTCCTTGAACTAAACCCTTAGCTCCAGGATAGGATTTCCCGAGGCCATGGCATGGCTTCATTTCCCCCTTCTGCTCTACGCAACTGGAGTGACAAACAACTTTTTTTCACACATGATGGAGATACGCAGCGGCTATATTATGGTTGTAGCACGAATAGGCCAGCTAAACCGAGAAAGGACCACGCCCTCACAGAACAACAACGTCAAACAGCAGTTTTATGCTACGTGTTTCAAATGGTAAATGTAAAGAACCAGAGGCCCTTTTTACTGAAAACGAGGCACTCCATCTTAGTCCTCAAGGGTAGCAACGCAACTGCATTTTGATTCTTAATTAAAGATAGATGTAAATGTCTATGGGCTACTGTATCCACTTAGTATTAGGTGGACTTTGTGCTCTTTTATAATATCTTATATAATAATCTATTAAAAAAAGCTTATAGTCTAATGTAGCCCATGAACTCCTGCATTCAACTTCCAAGATTACAGAGATGTTGTAACTCCTGAAGATTAAGGTAGAATGACTCACAGCCTATTTTTTTATAGGATAAGGGAGACAAACGAGCACACAGTCCACCTAATGGTAAGCGGCTGCTGCGGCCTATAGACATCTACATCTATCCTCGATTATGAATCAAAATGCAGATACGTTGTCACCCGTGAGGACCACGATGAAATGCCTCATTTCCAGTAAAAAAGGTCTCACCACCACTCTCACACTCACCAAACACAGCAGCGTTAAGCCGCTATTTTATATATTCTGTGAGAGCGTGGTCCTTTCCCGGTCGAGCCGACCCATTCTTGCTACATTTATACTACTAATATAGCTGCAGCATGGCTTTACCACTCAGGGGCGTAGCTACCGCCGTATCAGCCGTATCAATGACTAGCTGTGCCCCGCGGTTTCACCCGCGTCATCACGTGTCCGAAGTGCGCGACATGACCTAGTTCAAGCATTTTATAACGGTTAGGGTTTAAGCGCCGTTCGCGCGCCCAGCCAAGTATTGAATTATTTTAATTTTACATTATCTCTTAAACTATGCGTCCAAATAACATGGTATAAAGAACAATATTTATCTTCATAAAATTTTCTTGATGATGAAGTAACTTTCGTTCGTGAGGATAAATAGGCCATGCCTAATAATGACGCTCATAAATCACTTTTAAATTTTTAATATTTTTTTGTCACAAAATACCAAATTATGGCGTATGTATAAGAAATAGACATATGGTATCACAGAATTTTTTTTAGACGGTGTAAAGGTCTATATTTTTCTAGAACATTGTATTTACGTATCCCTAACTATAACACCAGCGTACGCGGATAAATAATTTCGGGAGTGCTTTTTCTTTTAACTTGCCTAACAAATATCCATATTTAAGGCTAGCGGAGTAATATAGCTTAATGCTAGATAGCCTATACTATTCCACATGAATCTGGCTATAATATACAAAAAGAATTTTTCAAATCGGACTGATAGTTCCAGAGATTAGCGCGTTTAAACAAACAAAAAAGTATAATATGTAAGTATAGATATAGATACGGGGCCCCCGGGTTACAGAGGCCCCGAACGTATTTAATCAAAAATTCTAAGGTCTTCTATGAGACAGGATGTTGGTTTGAATTGTTTGGCTAGTTTAGTTCCTAGGAGTATTAATTGTAAGTAATATCTCATAATCAATATATAATTATTTTACTTTAATGCGAGAGTTTTTGTTCCTTTTGTGAAAAATATTTACCCTTCATTTGGGGTATCAGTTAATAAAAAATCAAAATAGTTTGGGAAACCCTGTTCTACATAATCAATACTGCATAACGGAAGCTTTCAGACTATTCAGTTTCAGTCCGTTGCTTTCAATTGTTTCAGTTACTAAAGACACTTGTGCCGGAAGTTTCTGGGGTGAAAACAATATCGTGTAATAGCTGTAAACGTAAACACGTAAAACGAAAAAACGTAAAAAAATATAAGAAGGTATTTCTACGCTGTCGCTAGTCATGTAGTTCATGTAAAATACTTCACTCCTCTTTCAGAATAAATAAAAGAACACAAGTTTGAGAAAAATTATATTGGCAATTATTATCTATTATTAAAAATCCCATTACATACCTTCACGTCGGTGAAAATAAGTCGCGATAAGCAAGAAAACATTATGATTCATTGATAGCCACTATATACTCGTAGGAACCGGTAACCGCGGTGATTCTTCTCGTAATGAACATAACTTAGAAACGCTCCAAAAGAAATTCAATTTAGTTCATATGCAAAAGTTATTACCTACAGGGTAATGGAAATTTGCATGTATATACCAAGTAAAACATAAATGTACAATGCACATGGCACATTATAGAACTAAGTTATAGTAATTGGTACCTACGAGTACAAATTGGCACGAAGACAACTATCAGACGCTACGGAATACACTTCATTCGATTCGATCGAATATGCGTAGGTGTCTGAAGGTAATTATTAGAAATTATGTAAGCCCAATACAGCGAATGGATTTGGTTTCGTTCATCAAACAAGAACTCGCACAACCCACAAGGCAACAAACCACAAGTTTAGGGCACAAATATTTTACACTAGCGACCGCCCGCAGCTTCGCTTTTGTGAAATTGAAAATTACGGCAATTTTGTTAATAGTGGATATACTTCTTTATGATATGGTTACTGTACCGTATGTGCTATTACTTACTGGACAGTCTACTCGTGTATCCTTAGACTTATTATCTTATTATATACTGTGTATTGACCGGCTCATTGAACTTTAAAGCAAAAGATAAATCCCCTTTATTCCCGATCCCGTTAATTTCGAAAAATCCTTCCTTATTCCTTGTCTACTTTATAAAGGGATTCAGCTTACTAGGTCCGAACATTTGCGCTTGGCGTTGATGTATCAGTGATGGATTAGTGTGAGAGTGAGTGTATCGGGACTTGTCTTTTCATATTATTGTACTATATCAAAATATAAAGAGTGGCCTTAGAACAAATACAATAAAATTTTCATCTTCCGGTTCAAAATTTCCTTTTTTGTTCGGGGACAAAATGAAAACCTACATAATTCTTTCACACAGTTAGAAAATCTAACATAAAAAAGTGTTATAATAAAAGGAGAATTTGTTTTCGTGTACTTAATAATTTCTTTATGAATACTTTGTTGCCTTGTTCAGGGTAATGCGGTTCCAAACTGTAGCGGTAGACACGTAGACAGCCTCACATCCCGTGGACACTAATGTTGTGGCTGATACTGTTACCGTAAACAATACTTCATAAGGTCAGGATTCAGTCAATGAAGTAATTTGGGAACCCTCCGTTTTATCATTATGACGAACGACTTACAGGAGGTGATCATAGAATCAACGTGCCTTTTTATTTGCTGCCGACCGGTTTTGGA